AAGACATGAAAACAACATGAGGCCTCCTCAATGTATGAATGGATAAAGAAAATGTGTTCAATATATACAATGGAATACTACTCAGCCGTAAAAATGAAGGAAATCTTGCCATTTGCAACAACTTAGACTTTGAAGGCATGGTGCTAACTGAAATGAGTCAAAGAAAGACAAATACTGTATGGTCTCACTTATATGTGGAATGAAAACAGCTGAAATCAGAAACAGAACAGAATGGTGGTTGCCAAGGGTTGGGGGCTAGGAGGAAGGGGGTGATGTTGGTCAAGGGGTATATATTTCCAGCTATAAGTAATTCTGGGGATACAATATACAGAATGGTGAATATGGTTAACAATACTATATTTTATATACTCGAAAGTTGCCGAGAGATTAGGCCTTAAATGTCACTACAAAAAACAGCAGTTATATGAAGTGATAGGTGAGTTAACTAACCTTACTGTAGTAATCATTTCACAAAGTATACATCTCTCTCTCTCTCTCTCTCTCTCTCTATATATATATATATACACACACACACACACACACACACACACAATATATATATATATCACATTGTATACCTTAAACTTATATAATTTCTTTTTTTAACGTTAATCCTGCCACTGATATATTGTCATATTTGCCTCGGGGAAAACTTTCTTGTAAGGTCTTTTGGAATACACACACACACTCAGACACACATGGCAGCCAGTTGAAACGTCTTCGAGTTTACAGGATGGCTTACATATTTGTTTGTTAATAAATGAATATACAACAGAATATATCTAAAGTTTCTTTCATTATGGAATGGAATCAAGTCAGTGGGAGAGTAGTTGCCCTTCTACCTCTAACCATTGTAGATACCTCATTTATCTGAAAAGATCTTAGAATTATGCATTACTGCATAGTCTTGGGTCAGTTCTCAACAGTTTTGTTTTTCCAAAGACCAGCATCTCATTCTAGCTGAAACTATGCAAGGTCAGACTCCACAGAGGGGGTGACCCTACAAATATAATCTGGGTCACCCTGTGCTCATACAGTTGTTTTCTGAGCTAAAAAGCCTAGACTTGCTCTGGCAGGCACCATACAGGTACATTTGTTTGTTTTTCTTTTGGTTTGGTTCGCAAAGAATCACAGTAAATTTGTACTTAAAAAGAGAAGTCTGGCTGAGTGTGGAGGATAAAATGGAAGGGTAGAGAATTAAGACCAAGAAGCTAGTGTAGGAGGCTTGGACAAGGAGCTACAATTAAGAGTAAGGAATCAGTCTATTTTCAAGAGGTACAATGGTACAATTAACTGATGATGAAACAAGAGAACGGGGAGAAGGACATTTAGAGGCTATTAGTGCATAAGTGCAATTGAAGATAGGGCTGTAAAGACGATCCATAAAAGTGGGTATTGTATAATGAGAAGTTATAAGAGCTGAATCCAGAGGAAAAAATAAAATGTAAAGTTACGCAGAGGGGGACAAGAGTGAGGTGAACAAATCGAGAGAAAAGCATCTCGAATCTTTTATTTATTTTTCAGAGAGATAGAGAGACAGAGCGTGAGTTGGGGAGGGGCAGAGAGAGAGGGAGACACAGAATCCAAAGCTGGCTCCAGGCTCCGAGCTGTCAGCACAAAGCCTGTCCTGGGGCTCGATCTCACGAAACATGAGATCATGACCTGAGCCAAAGTTGGATGCTCAACCGACTGAGCCACCCAGGTGCCCCACATAAATATATTCTATCCTGGAAAAATAGAATCATTCTGATACAGAAATGATAGAGTCAAGTAATACCTATTGTAATGACCTGAAAGGAACTGCATGGATGTGTTCCTGACACCAAATACTTCCTTTCCCAGTCTGACACAGTGGCTGAAACAATTCGAATTTGGAGTTATTTGGACCTGGGCTTAAATTCTGTCTTTCTGGGGGTGCCTGGCTGGCTCATTCAGTAGAGCATGCGACTCTTGATCTCTTGGGTTTGAGTTCGAGCCCCACATTGGGTGTAGAGATTACTTAAAAATAAAATCTTAAAAAAAATTCAGGAGCACCTGGGTGGCTCAGTTGGTTAAGCATCTGACTCTTAATTTTGGCACAGGTAATCTCATGGTTCACGTGATGGAGCCCCACGTGAGGCTCTGCACTGACAGCATGGAGCCCGCCTGGAATTCTCTCCCCCTCTCTGTCCCTCCACCCCAAAATAAATAAACATTTTTAAAAATTAAAAAATCAAAATTAAAAATTCTGTCTTTCTAATTGTGTGATTTTCTGAGTACCAACAAAGCAGCCAACACAGCACTTGCTATTTAAGAAATATTCAACAAATGGTCAACAAATTTATCATTATCGTATCACCAGAGTAAGCCATCTAAACTTGCCCTCTTCTTCTTCATACTCCCTGCTTTTCCTTACATCCAAGAGTATTTTATGTATTCCCCTTTTAAGGGAGGTAATGTGGTGTCCAAGGATAAAGAAGGCATCACTAAACTTTAGACTTTTGGAATACATTTTTTTAAGCCAAGTCAAGAATATGAAAAGCTTGGGGTCTCTTCTTAACAGTTATCTTTTCTTTGGAAGAAGAAAGGACTGTAGGAGAGCTATGAAGAATGGGCACTTGATGATGTTAGAGAAATTTTCCACCAAGGGAGGAGTGTGTGTAGAAAGATCTAAGGGAGGGTGCCTGAGTGGCTCATTCGGTTAAGCGTCCAAGTCTTGATTTCGGCTCAGGTCATGATCCCATGGTTTGTGGGATCGAGTCCCATGTGGGACTCTGTGCTGACAGTGCAGAGCCTGCTTGAGATACTCTCTCTGTCTCTGCCTCTCCCTTACTCGTGCTCTCGGTCTTTCTCAAAATAGATAAATAAACATTAAAAAAAGAAAGATCTAAGGGGATGTGACTAAGGTTTCGAGGCATCTAAACTATCCAGAATCTTTGACCATTCAGAACATGACAAATAGAAACTGCATTGGAAATTTACAGCTTGGGGGAAATCCTTCATCTCATTCAGAACAGAAACTAAACATATTTAAAACAGGGTTAATGATTAAGTAAAACATTCAGATCATCTGCTTTTTCAAATATCTACTATGCTGACTGTACAAACAACATCAGATCTTTAGGTTACACTGAACTTACTAAATTTTTATTTTTTTAATGTTTATTCATTAAAAAAATTTTTTTTTGATGTTTATTTATTTTGGAGAGAGACAAAGACAGAATGCCAGTGGGTTGAGGCAGAGAGAAGGAGGCACAGAATCTGAAGCAGGCTCCAGGCTCCAAGCTGTCAGCACAGAGCCCCACGCGGGGCTCGAATTCACTAGCTGTGAGATCATGACCTGAGCCAAAGTCGGACACTCAACCGACTGAGCCACCCAGGTGCCCCATAATGTTTACTCATTTTTTGAGAGAAAGAGAGAGAAGGAGCGCACACAAGCAGGGGAGGGGCACAGAGAAGGAGAGACAGAATCCCAAGCAGGCTGTGCACCAACGTAGTGGAGTCCAATGCATGGCTCGAACTCACGAACTGTGAGATCATGACCTGAGTCAAGATCAAGTGTTGGACACTTAACCCACTGCACCACCCAGGCACCCAGAACATACTACATTTTTAAAAGGCAAAAAATATTAGGGACTCACTGTTCAAGAAAAGAAAGGCTTTGGGTATCGACCTATTTTCAAGTCCCATCTTGGCCACTTATAGCAATACTTGTGTTATCTTCATCAGTATGTTATTTAACCCCTGGGAACCTTAGTTGCCTTTTCAGCAACATGGAGATTACAATACTGACCTCAGAGGTTTTTGAGTCTTAGCAAGAATGACTTAAGAACGCTTAGCACTTTGCTTGATACTCATTCAACAACAGCTCTGACACTGACAATTTTCTCATATCCCTTTGAAGTAGTAGCCAAAAGATTTAATAACTTGCATACGAAGGCGAGAAAGGCAGAAACCAAGAGGCAAATCAACAGTTACGAATTTAAAAAACCTAGTCGTGCTGCAGCACAGACTTCACCCCATGGGGAGGGAAGAAGGTAAAATAGAGACTGAACAAACTTCCTCTTCCCAAGTCTGACAATCCACAATTCTACCTGTGGATTTATTCTAGAGGATTCTGGAAAGGTCCCTTCATTTTCCTTTGTGCCACTTGGGGCAAAATTGACAGTGAAAAAAAGTCGATAAATATGAGCAAGAAACCGTGGCCATCTGCACTGTGTATGGCAGTTTGCATATGCTTCCTCTACTGCAAATTTACCTCATGTGTGAATCATTTTCAAGTGACAAAAACGAAAAAAATCTTCAGTCCTCTAATGGGTGGTTTATGGACCTCCATGTGAAGGACCCCAAATTCCTCTTAGAGGGCACACGGAATTCACGACTGACCAGAAGGGGTAAATAATAATTACGATTTCTATGTAAACAACATTTACTTGTCCAATTTGAGTAAAACTGGTAGAAAATAATGTGCTTGCACACATTATTATCTGTTGGTCCACACTTGGGAGAAAAATCAGTCTGTCTAAATATAGCTACATAAACAGGACTGGAAAGACTGCTATGCATTCTAAACTGTTCAACACAGTTTATTACAACTGGTCAGTCTAAATAAGGAACAAATTGAGATTCCGTTCAAACCACTGGGCTGGGGAACACAATTAAAAGAGGCACTCCTTGCCTGTAGAAAAGCAAAGCTGGCCTTTCAGTGCTGATTACAAGGTGAGAGAAGATGAACACGGCTAGCGTGGCAATCAGCATCTGTAATTTGCAAGTGCTATTTGGAATAGGATTCTAAAAAGGATAGGTGTTGCTTTACCATTTGCAGAGGAAATTGCCTATTGGCTCCAAAGCATCACACGTAGAGTTCCACGTGAAAGATGAATTTACAAACTGAAGAGTGAAAGATGAGAAGAACTGCTGCCAGGGGCTTTGCGGTAACTTTTCTTGCCTCTCAATAAAACAAAGGCAGGAAACAAAGAAGCACATCTGGAGAGAACATCAAAAGAGGGAACTCATCTTACCTCCATCCAGCTCCTCGGCCCCAAAATGATTCCTGTAGAAGAGCATGATTTCTATCTTGTAACACTTGTAGATGGTCACCAGACAAACAAGCAGCAAAAGGATAGCACCAAGCCCTCCAGCAAGTTCAACTGTGTACATCAACTCTGGGGACAACAACAACAACAACAACAAATCACCAAAGGGAATTATACCATGTTCACATTCCAAGCCACAAATTCAAGTTGATTTCACAGTTCTGTGGATGAGACCAGATGTAGGTGATGGATTAACACAACCCCTTCCCCTTCTGCATGAAAATGGGACCTTTCTAGGTCTGTTTCCTTGGTAACCAGATAAGGTGGTCTGTGGTAGCTGTGTTGCTAAGCGACATCGTTTATGGTAAAAATGGGAGACGGCATTGGACGGAAACAAATTAGAAATACCGGTTTGGAAACGATAATCTTGGGCTTGCCTGAGTACAGTAACACATATAAGCATATCCCTTGGGGGAATCCCACAAATTATGCTTGTGGGGTTGATCAAAGAAATATCGGTTCCTGTGGATATGAAGCGCTTAAGTCAGGAAGGCTCCCGAACTCACCCAATGTGAATCTTGACGTTTCTCACCTGTGCTATCACCTAGGGGTTGGGGCTGAGGGGACGTAAGGGTTCCAACAACGCAGTTCCCGAAGGGCAGTGTGGACTGTGACATAGAGGGGTGGGTGGACCACCTGAGGAATACTGCCTGCTGCCTCCTGAATAGTCGTGCCAGTGTGGCCTGCCACAGTATTGGCGGCTGAATACTTGGGCTCAAAGAGCCGGCCCCCTCGTGGATGTCACACCAGACTATGTCGGTAGTATTTTCCTTTCACTAAGCTATTTAGAGAATTTTCTTTTCTTCTCTTTCCCCTTTTACTAGGCAGTTTGCTACATTCTACCCAAAAGAGGGATTCTCTTGCCACATACATGTTCTCTTTTTCCTCTTGAATATCCATATTACATTAACAATTATCAGGCATTTCTGGGGATAGAATATTCACTTCTTTTCTTCCCCGTTAGAGCCCATACACATTGTAACAAAATGAAGGCTACCGGCTTTTAAACATTAAGCCAGAATGCACAGACTATGAAGTTCACTTGACGTGCCTACGTATGCCTGCCGTCTTGATCAACACGGTACACACGTTACTGATGGGGAGCCATGGTTCACTATTGTCGATGACTACGTTGAAAAGTGCTGGTTTCCTTAATTACCATTAGATATAAAAATTCCTGAAATGATGGCTCTAAAGTAATGGTATTTTTGATGCTTTACTTTAAAATTCATCGATGGGTTATCTAATTTCAGAGCAGAGGAAATGTAGGCTTACAGTGAAAACCTTAAAATAATCTATGGCTTGAGTAACAACTACTCTTGTGTTACAAGATCACTCCTGAGATCTCAAAAAGGGGGTGAAATAATCAGGAGTACAGGGCCCTATCAGGGATAAATAACTTGAAAACACGGACATCAATTTCACACCAGAACATTTTGTGTTTGTGCACGTGTGTTCACGTGTGTTTGCGTGTGATGTGACTTTTCCTGGGATAATTACAGAACTCAGCCATATTTTTCATTATGTAGTCCTTCATTTTCAATTCAACAGTTTAATCAGAAAACATATATAACTGCCGTTTAATCAAGTGTATTCTGATGCTCTTGTTATTAAAATTAAATGGAAAATAGAAGACAACCTTATTAGAAGTGATTGGACTTTATGAATTTAAGGAAGAAAAAGAAAACGAGTTATTAAATCTTTTAGAGTCTAAATGAATATGAAAAGGGAAATGCCAAAACGAGCCTCCTGGAAATTTTTATATTTTGTACTTACAAATATCAGACACCTTTACATGCTGAATCTTGTGAGGACCTACACAAGATACTACTACAAAAGTACCAGGAATGAAATACAAAAAGCTCCTCAGGATGTTGTCCCATCCCTGTGCGAACAGAAAGGATAAGTGGGTAGGTAATTCCGTGGGGGGCATTGGGCCTGGTTCTCTCAGTATATGAGTTAACTCCACCCTATACACAGAAACCGGCAGAAAACTAACTTATGCCCACAGGCTAATTTGTATACCAAAAATCATCTGATTTAAATTGTACTGGATACGATGGAAGAGATAAACATTTGAACTGTGGTTGCTTTTCCGATTCACTCTGTTTTCTATTTTAACGCGTTAGACACAATTTCTCTCTCTAAAATGCTTGCACGAGAAAAGACAGGGAAAAATAACAGAGAACGCTTACCTTGCACTCTCAAACGGTGCTGATGGCAAAGCCCAATGGTACCACTATATTAGAAAACTTGGGGTGGTTTCTAATAAAGTTAGCTTAGGAATCTACCCTATGACTAGCAAGTGCACTCCTATGTATTCACCCACGGAAATATAAGCAGATATCCACAAGAAGACTTGTTCAAGAGTGTTCAGAGCAATCTTATTCATGGTGGCCGTGACTGAAAATGAGCCAAAGGGTGATTAACAGGAGACATTGAACAGACTGCTGTCCGTCCATATGACAGAATACACTCAGCAGTAAAAAGAATCAACTACGGACACATGCAACAAGAGTGAATCTCACAAAATTATGTTAGGTGAAGGAAGCCAGACACAAAGTAGTATCTTCTGTATAATTCTGTCTAAATGAAGTACAAGAGCAGGCCAAAATAAACCATCGTGATAGAAATCACAAAATGGATGCTTTGTGGATAAGTGATGGGAAAATGTATTGGAAGGGGGCAACGGGAAACTTTCTGGGGTAGACGAAACATTCTGAAACTTTCTGTAGCTCTTTTGAGGTATGGATATACCAGCATATAATTGTCAGAATGCAATGAACGGAGCACCTACCATCCATGCACTTCACCTTACGTTAATCACACTTCCATTCTTCACAACTTTGATATTTTGAAAAAAAATAGTCATTATAAATTCTAACTCAAGGCTTAGGTGGGGAGAAGCTGTAAAAGAAAGCTGGAGTCAGGACAGCTGCTTTGGCAGGTATGCGCCCAGGTCAGGAATGGTTCTATGTTGGCTCCAAGCGCACTTGTGGATTCTAGGGACATGGCACCAGGCCTGGGCAACTGGCGTGCTTCACCCCATATCTAGTCGAACACCTTTCAAAACAATCCAAAACTGTGCCTGAAACAGAATCTTATTACTCTAATAAGCGGAATTCTCATTTTCTTTGGATGGTATTTATGAGACTGGTCTTTACACACTTCTTTAAGACCTTTAACACTGAATATGCAAAATTAGAGAAAAATTATATGAAAGTAAGTCCTTCCTATTTTTAGAGAAGTCACTGCCGAAATGTGAATTATTCCCATTGCTAGAAGTCTAGGGCCAGTCAAATAATTATATACACTACCTCAAATATACTATTTCATAGGCCAATCAATAGTATTGTCTGAAATGTAATGAGAAAAAGCCAGCGGGGTTGATGGGGCTTAGCAATTACAGAAATGGTCTACTGTCACATGAATGTATACTTTAAGTTACAAACATATGGAAAGTTATATATACCTAGAGTATGAGCAATAAGCAAGAATAAGCCTTCTGAGCCAGAGGATAGTCATTTACTAATAATAGGGACACCAAAACCAGGTCCAAAGACACGGCATTTTCAAGGAGCGAATTTGTCCTGGGATCCGGAGAGTACCTCAAATTTCCTTCAGATACTTCTGTAGTATTACATTCAGAAGCATGGTGTTCTTACAATGTCCTCGGAAGTCAGAGAAGAAATGGGTCTTTTGCCACGGTCCACACACCAGTGCCTGTTCCTCGGTTACTACATTGTTTTTATGCAAGAGTAACTTACGTGCCCTTCATAGTATAAATGGGAGAGGTTAAAAATTTTTCATTTAAGTTTTTCACACTGGTTTATATGCCCTGTGTAAACTCTCCCCCCCCCCCAAAGGGTGTATTAGATTTAGTTTCCACATTCTTTTGCTCCAAGCTGGACGCATTCATTAATATGAGTGCCACCCATTATGGCTTATCCATTGGGTCAAGACAAAATTACTAGGGGTTAAATTCTGTTACAGTTAAAAGAAATGATTTGGGCCCACTGCTGTATTGTATCCTTACACTGCAATGTGAAAGGTGTTGCCCCAGCAAATGTCATTTTCCCTTTGAAATGGGATCTGCTTTTCAGCTCCAGTTCAAGTTGCCTGGAGTGGCAGCATTTAAAAAATAAAAAGATTCCATTTCAGCACAATTCAACATCAGAAGATGGAAAGAGAAAGTGCAGACCTTTTAAGAATCTGTTTAGCCTTTGTGTTATTTTGTTAAAATGATAGACTCTGCCCCCCTTTAAGGGATTGAGACTGAATATTGAAAATTGTAAAGCAAAATTGCTCAGCAAAACCTAAGGGAAACTGGCATTTGGTTAAACACAACAAATGAACAAGTGCCAAAGAGTTACGTTTAAGGGCACCAGCAGTCATTTAGTTACAGGCAATTAACAATAGTCTTTGGAAAGCTCCAGTTTAGGCAAAGGGAAAACACATTGATTATTGCTGCAGTAGTAGACTGCTTTCGGAATAAATTGCTTCAATTTAAAACTAGATTTGCTACAAGCATTTTGAGCAATGACTACAATTTTTTCTTATCAAGACAGTTGGACCAAGCAACCCTTTAAAAGAAACAGCTAATTAAAATAAAGCGCATGCCATCTCTTAGTACATTGGATTACACTGCAAATAATAAATGCATTTGGTTTACACTAATCTTGCTGCAATTACCTAGTGCAGTTTGGGATCCTACTTTTTTCTACTGGCCAGTACCTGGTATTGTTGTTGGCAAACTTTTTCTGCTAGGTATCTTTGAAGAGGTAAAGATGTTAACAAAGTAAATCCAAGTTTTTAGGTATTTTTGAACTCCTCACTTGGATTTTCATTTTGTTTCTCTATATGTATTTATATGCATAATCTTGCTTAAAGTATAACTGAGTATTTTAGGTGGCTTTTCCTTATATAGTTCAGCCTAAAATTGCCTCATTCATTATATAAAGTCCTTTCAAATGTTCTGCCCTGATTTATATGCAGTAAAGTGCAAGTTTGTGGGGGGAAATGCATGATAGACAATCTAATGATCCCGGTTTATTCATTAGCCTCACCAA